ATTATATACACTCACTTGGGATCTGGAAACGCACCTATGGTGGTAATATATCGAGAGTATTTGTATTCTCTTTATCTAGTGAAAAAGTTGATAGTTTTCATAACTACTTTTCAATCGATGAGATAAACACTGACTTCATTTTTTTATTTTTTTTATTTTTCATTTATGGAATTATAAACGTAGGAGGTAACAACTGTTAATATTTAATGTTTATTGTTGAGGGTGCAATCAGCAATAGTCAAGCTATAACAGGGCGACCTGCAATTCATCAGACAAAGCAGGGATTGATATTGTGAGCAACGTCCCACACCGCAATTATCAACTAAGTCGCTGAGCCTGTCAAGATACGCACATATGTTCAGATTCTCACATGGGTATCAGCTGGCATGTGAACGGGGAATTATAAGTCACTGAGCCTGACATCCGCACTAGCACAGGCTGGTGTTGGCCTATTCCAACCCGGACAAGCAGTTGGTTCTGGGGACATACTTAACCAGGGAATACCCATGGGAAGGCAAGCAGTGGGTTCTGGGGACATACTTAACCAGGGAATTTTAAAAGAAAGACAAGCCGCGGGTACTGGTACTGGTACTGGTACTGACATATTCTGTCTAGGAATTCACATGGGAAGGCAAGCAGTGGGTTCTAGGGACATACTCTGTCTAGGAATGCCCATGAGAAGACAAGAAATGGCTACTGGGTCCATAATTTACCTGGTATATGCAATGGGAAGACAAGCAGTGGGTTCTTGGGAACATTCTCTGACTGGAAAATGAGACAGGAAATAGCTACTGGAGACGTACTCTGTCTGGAAATCCCCACGAGAAGACGAGCACTGGCTATTGGGGAATTGAGACAGGGAATGGCTACTGGAGACGAACTCTGTCTGGAAATCCCCACGAGAAGACGAGAACTGGCTACTGGTGAATTGAGACAGGGAATAGCTACTGGAGACGTACTCTGTCCGGAAATCCCCACGAGAAGACGAGAACTGGCTATTGGGGAATTGAGACAGGGAATAGCTACTGGAGACGTACTCTGTCTGGAAATCCCCACGAGAAGACGAGAACTGGCTACTGGTGAATTGAGACAGGGAATAGCTACTGGAGACGTACTCTGTCTGGAAATCCCCATGAGAAGACGAGAACTGGCTATTGGGGAATTGAGACAGGGAATAGCTACTGGAGACGTACTCTGTCCGGAAATCCCCACGAGAAGACGAGAACTGGCTACTGGGGCCATACTCTGCCTGCTGGGAATCTGCACGTGAAGACAATCAGTGGGTTAGTGGGCCATACTCTGCCTAGAATTCCCAGTGTAAGACAAGTAACGGTTACTTGACATATACTCTACCTGGGAATCCCCATGGAAGACAAGGAATAGGTACAGGGGACATACCCCACCTGAGAATCTACACGTAAAGACACATAATCAGCACTCTAGCTTGAAATCCCACACGGGGTATTTTAAGGATGTAACAATGACTCAACGTTTGATCTTCACTTGGAATACAGCGTGTATATGTATGAAGCAACGGCTGTAAATTAGATCAGCTGGACGGCTTTCCCGACAGACGGGGCTCATGTATCTCACCAGATGTTGCTGGCATCACTTCTATAACTCATTATTTCATCCAACAGCTGGTGGTGTAATTTGGTCGTGAATTATAGTTCTGCATAAAGTATTGAATTGAAATCTGATCTCCGATTTCCATCCCTGTGATATCGCCTCTATTGTATTTGTAAAGCTTTCAGGCAGTAATATTGACTGAATTCAACACAATTAACAACAAATCCATTAATCACGATGCATGGGACATTAAATTCTTATTACATCAGTTTATTATTGTCATAGAAGTCGTGACCGACACATACAACAGCATTACGTTACTCGCTATTGCCTTGATTGTACACTACTCCCAATTTGATAGGGGTATTTTCATCTTTCCGTGACACACGATTCTTATAATATGATATTTAAAAAGTATGACATCGCTGAATATCCCTGACAAAGGTTAAGAAGTATATTCCTATTTTAGACCACAGTGTGGCAAGGGTGGTCCAGTCGTCGCGATTCGCTGTGCAGAGTTGCATCCCTTGGGCACGCCAGAAACCTATGATTGTGGGTTCGAATCCCGGTTCGCCCCGATTATGTTTCTCGGTTTGTCAGCACCATACCTGTGCTCGTGGGTTTCACCGAAGTGGTAAACGTCCGAGACCTGCATCACTTCGGGCTTTCCTCCCACAAAAAAAAGACAGGTTGTATAATCTGGAAGCTTGAAAAATCAACCAACGTATACTTTGAAGAGTTGTCCATTGTGGGAGCTTGGACATGCAGGCAGGCACTGATAGATTTTGTTGAGTGAGCTTGGTTTCAAGCTGATTTGAACACAATTTCATTTATATAATAGCTTGATGTAGGAGGAAAGCCTGGATTTGGAGAAACCCACGAGTATGGTGCTGACGAACCTGGAAACATAATCAGGGCGAGCAGGGATTCAAACCCACGGACATAGGTTGCTGGCACGCCTAAGGAACACAACTTTGCACAGTGAAGTGCTCGGTCACCAATGCCCCTACAGTGTTCCAGAAGTCCAATAGTCCGGCAGACAGACTGGTCCTGTTTGATCCCTACTGGTCCTGTTGGATCCCTGATGGTCCCGGCCAAAAGGTGTTGATAAGGATACTTCATGAACTAAACAACACACCACGCATGTCTGTTCAGGCTGCTGATTGTATACCACTCCAAAAGCGTAAAGGGCCATCCGATTCTTTCATGTTGCTATAGTAAATCTGCCATACCATGTCTGTGGAGTAGCCTAGTGGGTACGAGTTCTCTTGTCGCCCCGATAACCTGGGTTCGATTCCACACATGGGAAACAAATTTCTGTTGTTCCCCGCTGAGATTTTGCTGGAATATTCACAGTGATTTATGATCGTTAACGGGTTTTTTTTAGTATTTTACATAAAGTGTGTCTTAATCTTATGGTGTTTATCTATGGGGTGGGGGTTGCACTGTTAATGTTAAGGCGTATATCAATCCAATAGTTTATGTTTGTTTGTTTGTTGTTTAACGCCGCACTCAGCAATATTCCAGCTATATGAAGGCGGTCTGTAAAATAATTGAGTCTGGACCAGACAATCCAGTGATTGACATCATGAGCATCGATCCACGCAATTGGGATCGATGACATGCATCAACCAAGCCAGCGAGCCTGACCACCCGATCCCGTTAGTCGCCTTTTATGACAAGCATAGTCGCCTTTTACGGCAAGTATGGGTTGCTGAAGACCTATTCTACCCCGGAATCTTCACGGTCCCAGTAGTTTATGATCATAATTACTGTACAGAAGCTATGTGTAATGTGGCAATGATAACGTCTGGCCCTAGACTGCAATTTGGAAACAGGAGTACAGTACAGTACCCCGGTTCAATATGTGTGTATGCATTTGTAGACGAACGCATTAATCAAAGTCAGATTTTGGTGCTGGCTACCCTACACATTGCACTAATATCTTATTTTTCGAGATTGCATTCATGGAAAGTATGGCACCTCATGGGTACTTTCATGTCACCTGGGTAACAATTGCACCCCCATCATGCAGTATCTACTCTCTGAATATGAAGATATGGATGCCATACTTTGATTTGGGTAAGCTTATGACAATTTTAGTTCTGTGAGGGCCAGTTGTCTAAGGCGCCGCGATTCGCTGTGCAGAGTTGCGCCCCTTGGTGCCAGAAACCTATGATTGTGGGTTCGAATCCGCTTCGCCCTGATTATGTTTCTAGGTTTGTCAGCCCCATACCCGTGCTCGTGGGTTTCACCAAAGTGGTAAACGTCTGAGACCTGCATCACTTCGGGCTTTCCTCCCACATTTAGCTGACACACTGTGATATAACTGGAATAATGTTCAAAGCAGGGTTAAAAACCCAACTCACTCACTCACTCGATCCCAAACTTGATATCAACCCAAGTGCTGCTTCATCATGTATTGATCATTTTAGTGGGCGACATGCAGTTACTTGAAAGTCTTACTCTTCCATTCCAGTGTTTTCATGGCCGAGTGGATAGAGCCTCTGTCCAGAGAGCAAAAGTCAGTGTTGAATCCCAATCATAGCAAAAGAAGTTGAAGATGGTACTAGTTGTTTCCCTGCCTTGCATTCGGCATTAAGAGGAAAAATCAAGGACTGGACACCTTGGTCAGTATACTGTGTCTGAGTAGGGTATTCATGTTAACATGCAGCATGGAATCTCGGTTGGCTAGCAGACAGACACACCCACCACTATACAAGAGTAATAATTTTAAACACTACCTTATACCCTATTTCATGTCACCTACTATTGTATTCATCTTGAGCCGAGTCGGTTTAATTTGTGATGGTGGATCATGACATGCCTCGGTATGCAACTCTGCATGGTGCTGTACCTTTGAGGAGAGCACCATCAGTACCACCCATAATACAGAGTGAGTGAGTGATTTGTGGACATCACATGTCAGCTTAAAGTGATGCAGGTCTTAGTTATTTATCACCTTGGTGAAACCCACCAGCAGAGAATGGGCAGACACAAAGGAGGTGAGGTGAGGTGAAATTGGGTTTAACATCGCGTCCAAGATTATTGCACTTATATAGCGAGGTTCATGTATGTGTGTGTGTTTGTGTGGCTGCTTGTACTTGTCCGGACTGATGCCAATTTAAAGTTATAGCTCACTGAGATACAGGAATACCCTACTCAGACACAGTATACTGACTCCGAGCCGACCAGTCCTTGTTTCAGCCCCTTAATGCTGAGTGCCAGACAGGGCAACAACAAGTACCATCTTTTAATATCTTTTGGTACGATGCGGCCGGGGATCGAACCCCGGACCTTCCGCTCTCCGGGCGGATGCTCTACCACTAGACCACGGAGGCGGTCAGACACAAAGGAGGAGAGATATGTTGAACGACTGATAATGAAGACTTGATATGTTAATCCTGTAAAAGAAGAACCAGACAGAATGCTTCATACCCGACCGTATTTATTTCATGCACTGACTGTACAGAGGCTACAGATGTATGTACACAATATATACAATACACAGCTGGGGAAATATCACCAGATATTCAACACGGTTGGAGGACAATAACAATGACAGATCACCTCATTGTCTAACTTGTTCAAAACACAATCAAACCTTCATTCTTCTGGTCTACCACGCCAAGACAGATTTATCCAGGCGTTTTCAGAGGCCGATTTCTGGGCCCCAAGTCTACATGAAATGACTGTAAAAAACGTTTTCAATTCATGATCTATAATGTTTTAGCATTCCAAAGGTGGCTTCTTCACTGACAACATAGCTAATAAAGTAGGGCTTAAACAGTTACGTTACTTTTAATTGAATTTGATGATGAAACACCTTTCAATTTTTGGAATAATAACTTTTCAAACATAACCAAATTTTAACAAAAGGATTTGCCTGCTTAAAACCACACAATAAAATCAAGATGTTAACTTTCCCTATCATAAGTAAAATTAAACTTACTTTCAAACAAAAACAGTTTTCCAGTCATCCCACCGAAGTAATTTAATCCAGTGTAATTGGCTTACCTATCATGTGTTCCCCATCCATCATGTTGTTACAGTATTATTCTTCTGTTGTTATAAGTAAACCTACTCATGCTAATCCCTCTGATGTATCATACTTGTTACTGTTAATCTTTCGCTTACCATATATTACTCTGTACCATGTTCATTTTTCAGTCCCTTGACGAGGTATGAGGATCTACAGTGAAAAGTCGCTATTACAGTACAATAAAGAAGTTATTATCCAAAAACTTTTGTCTTATTTGTCCTCTGCTATTCACTTTCTCTTGAACACTTAAGCCCATAAATGTGATCACTTCACAATTTTGTGTACCAAACAGGTGAGAGAAATTAAATGAAAATTGATCTGTAACTAAATGTATTTTAGTATTAGTGGATAGGAAACTAAATACCAGTAACAAAATATTGTAATGTTATTGTCCACATGACTGTTTTTAACTAAATGTATTTTAGTATTAGTCAATACGAAACTAAATACCAGTAACAAAATATTGTAATGTTATTGTCCACATGACTGTTTTTAACTAAATGTATTTTAGTATTAGTCAATACGAAACTAAATACCAGTAACAAAATATTGTAATGTTATTGTCCACATGACTGTTTTAGAAATAACTAGATTGACAGTCTGTAAGATGTTATAGCTATTGAGGCTCGTGAGGCATGTTTCATATTGCCCAAAGCAGCTCGCGACAATTTGTTGAGATATTTCAGCAATGTAGGTGGCGCTGTCAGACATGCTGTTAGTAACACGTGGAGATAGCATGGCGAAGCACTTGTAGATGTGAGTTTCCAGCACAAATATGAGGACAAGGGGCTAGCCTTTGATGACCCCAATAGGACGTAGTTTGATTGCCTTCTTGCTGATCCCGGCCGCATGACCTGAAACACATACAGTGAGTGAGTGAGTTGGGTTCGACTTCAACAGCATGGCCGCTTAATTCGAGAGGAAAAACCAAAGGGACAATTTGGTGAAACATGTTTGTTTGTTGTTTAACACCATACTCAGCAATATTCCAGATATATGACGGCAGTCTGTAAATAATCGAGTGGTCATGCATCAACCAAGTCAGCGAGCCTAACCACCCGATCCTGTTAGTCGCCTCTTACAACAAGCATGGGTTGCTGAAGACCAATTCTAACCTGGATCTTCATGGTTTGGTGAAACATAAGAACAGAATTGGTGTCAATCGACCAGAGATAGCTGGAAGGAATCTGAGAATCCAGAAGATTCTACGACTACTAAGGGTCATAACTCTATCCTATAATTTGCAACACCTTGTGTGAGTGAGCACCCATAGGTGTTGGTTGGGTAACACCACCATCAGCAATATTCCAGCAATGTCACAGCAGCCTGTAACTAAGCAAGTGTTGGGCCAGACAAAGCTGTGGCCGATTATGTTGATCTACTGAGGACCACTCAGGTACAAAGACATTGATCTATTGAGTGAGTGAGTGAGTGAGTATGGTTTTACGCCGCTTTTAGCAATATTCCAGCAATATCACGGCGGGGGGGCACCAGAAATGGGCTTTACACATTGTACCCATGTCGGGAATCGAACCCGGGTCTTCGGCGTGACGAGCGAACGCTTTAACCACTAGGCTACCCGACCGCTCCTGATCTATTGAGGACCACTCAGGTACAATGACATTGATCTATTGAGGACCACTCAGGTACAAAGACATACAATCAACAGATCACAAAACCTGGCAAAAGATGCAATATAGTTGCCCCTCACATCAGCAGTGGTTACTGAGATCAATTCTAACCTGACTATTTTACCTCCAAACTCATATTACTGAAAACAGTAAGTTAAATTGCATATCACAGGGTTAGAAACTAACAGTTTTTGTCCACTAGTCCTTATAATGACAACATATAGCAATACCCTTAAAATGGGCCAATTTCTACTAGTCCTTAGGATACCTTTACTATAAAGCAGTTTGGAAAGGACGACAGGACTAGCGCCAATATCTAACGCTGATATCATAAAGTGGAACTGCTGTAACAAAGACTCTTATTGAAGTCACCTTATTTTTCAGCCTCTAACCAGTTCTATTGAATCAGATTTTTAAGGATGTTTAAGACTGACAAATTAATAACTGTAGATCAAACTTACATGTGTCAACCACATCAGTCACATTCTTGTAAGATTCTGGAGCCTAAAAAACAAAAACATTCTCAGGCTATATAAACAGGATATCGAAACACAACAATATATCAATAATTTTTAGAACTGTCCCCTGCATAAATCATCAATTTTCTCTCGAGCTGAAGCAGCAGTTAGAAAATCATTCAGAAGAGTGAGTGAGTGAGTGAGTGAGTGAGTGACTGAGTGAGTGAGTGAGTGAGTGAGTGAGTGAGTGAGTGAGTGAAGTGAGTGAGTGAGTGAGTGAGTGAGTGAGTGAGTTATAACGTTCTACACAAATTTATAGCAATAGTGAGTGATCTTGTTTTATGCTATTTACAGCAAACACTTCAGTTTCTACACAAACACCACTCACCTCTTCCATCACAAGCTTGGGGGATGCAACCCTGATGCTGATCCCCTTCTGATCCAGGGCTGCCAACACATCCGAGTAGTCCAGGTTCCGCCGCGACTTAGCTCGGGAGAGTGCTCTCCCCTGAAACAAAGAACGTGCTTACTGCAACGTGTATTGATTGACATGAAGTATTAATGTCACAGAATTGAGCTCTCATTACTAATGCACCCATGTTTCTGGGTATTTTCATAGGCATGTAAGATTAATTCACCTTGTGTTTTCTAAGACAAAGATTCTTTAAGATTTGTCAGTTGTCACATGTTTTCTTACTATTCTTTTTGAATACAACAAACTTTGCTTTCAATGACATGAGAAACAGTTTTATTGGGACATGGAACAATCATGGTCATTTCAGTATCAGTGGTTTGCTGAAAGATGGACATCTTCTCGAGGCAAGGGAGTTAACTCACCATAAAATTCCGGTTTCCCACTTGCCGAACTAGGCTGGAATTTTGGAGATACAGTTTGGCTGGACTAACGAGTCTATGTATAGCCCAACCAAAATGGCATAACGAACTAGACATCCGGTTCATAAACAACCTGGTTTTCAACGTGCAGATTTCGGTTAACTGCAGGATTTGCAAAGCATGTGTACTGTCAACTTGGCATTGACAGATGTTTTCCCAATCTTTTCATGTTTTCAATCACGGTGCTCAAGTAATTTGATGCATTTCACGAGGTAGGACCTGTTTTATTACAATATATATCTTGATTATTGATCAGATCGTCTTGACTAGGCACCGCCATTTTGTTTGAAGCAAATGCAAGTGATATGAGAGGTGGAATCTGATTGGTCAATATAAGGGACATAGAAGGGACATAACTCATAATGCCCACTGCTGGCGCTACGATAGACTCACGAAATTCAAGCCTAGTTTGGCAAGGGTGGAAACTGGACTTTTATAGTCAGTTAAGATGATGAAAGCTGGAATGACCACAGATTGACAGGCAATGCACCACAAGTTCACAGCCTTCTTTGGTCCTGTCGAGCTAGAAATGTAACATAAAAAATCTCATGCGAAGTAAACTTACTGCGCCGTGACACGTCGTGCCGAATGTTTCCGTCATGCCCTGTTCGGTGCCCGTCAGCACATAGCTGCATGTGCCCATGGTGCCGCCGATGAGAACAGGCTGGCCCGTCAGCTGATCAAAGAAACAAGAAGTGTGGGTATGATTCATGAAACAATAGAAAACATGTCAGAAGACTCAAGTCACAAACCAACAGTCTGAAAGACACCTTATCCCAAGGCTAACCCACCCCAAGAGGCCTATGATCCTCACGCCGTAGACCTGGGTTCGATTCCCGACATGGGTACAATGTGTGAAGCCCATTTCTGGTGTCCCCCGCCGTGATATTGCTGGAATATTGCTAAAAGCGGCGTAAAACCATACTCACTCACTCACTCACTCACTCACTCAAGAGGCCTATGTTCCTGAAACTTTAACATTAAAAGAGGGGGTGAGGGTTTCAACAACTTAACCAGGCAGCTACCCCACCCTGGTCATCTGTCGTCTAGGGGTAATGCCCCACCCCCAAAACATCTATACCTGAAATCCCCCTGTATTACCATGATTACAATTTCATGACTAGGTTACCCACACTACGAAAAAACATCTCTGCTTGATAATCAACCGGAATGAGAGGGTAGTGGGGCCACTGTTTAATGATTAGGCTATGCCACCAGGAAACTCATCTTTATTTAATAATCGACAGGAATGAGAAGCTTTGGGGGCCACAATTTAACGATTAGACTACTGCACCTCCAAAATACATCTCTACTGGATAATCGATGGCAATGAGAAGGTAGTTGGACCACAATTTAATGATTAGGATACCCAACCCCCAAAATCATCTCTCCTTGATAATCGAAGGGAGTGAGAGAGTAATAGAGCCACTATTTAATAAGTAGGATACCCCACCCCAAAAAGCATATGTTACTGAGAATCCACCTGTATTGGTCAGGTGAGGTGAAATGGGGTTTAACGTCGCGTCCTAGATTATTGCACTTATATAGCGACGTGCATGTACGTGTGTGTGTTTGTGTGGCTGCTTGTACTAGTCCGGACTGATGCCGATTTATAGTGCTAGCACACTGAGATACCATGCCACAGTTTAACATGAATACCCCACTCAGATACAGTATACTGACTCCGAGCCGACCAGTCCTTGTTTTAGCCCCTTAATGCCGAGCACCAGACTGGGTAACAACAAGTACCATCTTTTAACGTCTTTTGGTATGACGCGGCCGGGGATCGAACCCCGGACCTTCCCCTCTCTCTACGGACGCTCTACCACTAGACCACGGACGAGGTCCCACCTGTATTGGAGGTATGGAGGGGCAAAAACTGAACCACAATGCCTCCCTACTGAAACCAGCAACTCTACCTGATAATCCACCGGAATGAGAGGGTGGTGGGGCGGGAAGGCTCGTGTGGATCCCTTCCTGTGAACCAGAAGTGTCTTCTGCTTGCCGTCAATAAAATGCTCCTCTACTTTGGCAATGTTGTGCGACACATCATAGATCATGTGCATGTCAAGGTCATCCGGAGTTGTCTTGAACATCTTGGCAAATGCCTGTAGAAACAGAAAAATGAAACTGACTTTAACTTCAACACATACCAATGAACAGTGAAAACTTGTAACATCATTTCGGATGAGATCATCAACACAGCCTGCAAGTTTTCTCAAGAAGAGAACCAGATCGTACTTAAACATGATGAAATTTGATTTTAAAAATACCTGTATATTCTTTCGAGAGAGCAACCAATCCAGGATTAAACTTAACAAATTTTCACTATTTTTTTTCTCCAGTTGTTTGCTTGTTGTTTAACACCACACTCAGCGATATTCCAGCTAAATGACAGCAGTCTGTAAATAATCGAATCCGGATCAAACAATCCAGTGATTGAGATCATGAGCATCAATCCATGCAATTGGGATACAATGACATGCATCAACCAAGTTGACAAGCCTGACCACCCGATCACGTTAGTCACCTCTTACGACAAGCACGGGTAATACCTATTCTACCCCGTATTGCTGCTTGAAACTGTATTTGATCCTATCACAGTGTAGCAGTTTAATCTCGCAGGAAAGACCAAATTGACACAATTCACAGATGTTTATAACTTTGACAAAAATGTTGGCCCAGGTAACATTCTACCCAGATATTGCTGCTTTAAACTGTATTTGATCCTATCACAGTGTAGCAGTTTAATCTCACAGGAAAGACCATATTGACAAAATTCACAGATGTTTATAACTTTGACAAAAATGTTGGCCCAGGTAACATGCTAAATGAATGAGTTGGATTTAATGCTGCTTTGAACAGTATTTCAGTGATATCACAGTGTGTCAGCTTGATGTGGGAGGAAAGCCTGGACAATGGCAAGCTTGACATGTTTCCAAGTAACCCATGAGCACAGGAATGGAGCTGCGAAACCGAGAAACACGGCACTTGAGTTCCTGGGACGAGTTAGGGACCCAGCAAATAGCAGCACCTGAGACAAGGACCAAGAAACAAAACAGGGCAACTCTGGGATTTGATCCCCTTGATCAGCAGACCCTGGTACTGCTACTGCCAGGCACTCTGATCAGCCATGCCTTAGTCCACTGTCGTATCTACTGAAGAGAGGGAGGGTGTTCACCTGTCTGGTTAGGAAGGTCATGCTGGTGCGGTTGACCCAGGCGTAGTTGGCGGCGGCGGCCATGCCACGCAGGTAGTCCTGCCCCTCCTGGGACTGGATATGAGCACATGCTAGCTGGCGGTCATTCACGTCAATCTTGTCGCGCTTCATTGCCTTCTCCATGGCAACGAGAGCATCTGTAACACAGTGAATGAGTGTGTGAATTACCTACAAGTAGCCACCCACCCCCTCATCCCCTTCCCCTCATCCCCACCCCCTCAACCCCAAACCAATAGACAACAACCAGCACATCCCCACCCACCCTCCCACTTGTCTTGGAAATGAGGTGAGGTGAAATGGGGTTTAACGTCACATTCAGTACTATTGCACATATATAGCGACAAGTGTTTGTGTGTGTCAGCTTAATGTGGGAGGAAAGCCCGAAGTGACGCAGGTGTCAGACATTTACCACTTTGGTGAAACCCACAAGCAAGGGTATGGTGCTGACAAACCTAGAAACATAATCGGGGCGAACCCAAGCATAGGTTTCTGACGTGCCCAAGGGATGCAACTCTGCACAGCAAATCGAGGCACCTTAGATGACTGGGCCACCCGTCAAAACATTAAGGGATAAAAATCAGAGACAAACACTGTCAAATAACTCTAAGATCAAAATATGTAAGCATGGGAAAGGTCAAAACGAAAATTTCTTGATACAAAACTCAACATGAAACCTGCCCCCACAGAGATCCCTGTCCACCTGCCCGTACCTGCCCCCACAGAGATCCCTGTCCACCTGCCCGTACCTGCCCCACAGAGATCCCTGTCCACCTGCCCGTACCTGCCACCACAGAGATCCCTGTCCACCTGCCCGTACCTGCCCCCACAGAGATCCCTGTCCACCTGCCCGTACCTGCACCCACAGAGATCCCTGTCCGCCTGCCCGTACCTGCACCCACAGAGATCCCTGTCCACCTGCCCGTACCTGCACCCACAGAGATCCCTGTCCAGCTGCCCCCACAGAGATCCCTGTCCGCCTGCCCGTACCTGCCCCCACAGACATCCCTGTCCACCTGCCCGTACCTGCCCCCAGAGACATCCCTGTCCACCTGCCCGTACCTGCCCCCACAGAGATCCCTGTCCACCTGCATGTACCTGCCCCCACAGAGATCCCTGTCCACTTGCCCCCACAGAGATCCCTGTCCACCTGCAAGTACCTGCCCCCACAGAGATCCCTGTCCACCTGCCCGTACCTGCCCTGACAGAGATCCCTGTCCACCTGCCCGTACCTGCCCCCACAGAGATCCCTGTCCGCCTGCCCGTACCTGCCCCCACAGAGATCCCTGTCCCCCTGCCCGTACCTGCCCCCACAGAGATCCCTGTCCGCCTGCCCGTACCTGCCCCCACAGAGATCCCTGTCCACCTGCATGTACCTGCCCCCACAGAGATCCCTGTCCACTTGCCCCCACAGAGATCCCTGTCCACCTGCAAGTACCTGCCCCCACAGAGATCCCTGTCCACCTGCCCGTACCTGCCCTGACAGAGATCCCTGTCCACCTGCCCGTACCTGCCCCCACAGAGATCCCTGTTTACCTGTACGTACCTGCCCCCACAGAGATCCCTGTCCACCTGCACGTACCTGCCCCCACAGAGATCCCTGTCCACCTGCACGTACCTGCCCCCACAGAGATCCCTGTCCACCTGTACGTACCTGCCCCCACAGAGATCCCTGTCCACCTGCACGTACCTGCCCCCACAGAGATCCCTGTCCACCTGTACGTACCTGCCCCCACAGAGATCCCTGTCCACCTGTACGTACCTGCCCCCACAGAGATCCCTGTCCACCTGTACGTACCTGTCGCCACCTGGTGCCCCATGCCACGGCTGCCGCTGTGGATCATCACACAGACCTGATCCTTGAACTCAATCCCCATCTTCTTGGCTGCATAGTCATCATAGATCTCCTCCACGACCTGGATCTCGGCGTAGTGGTTTCCGGCACCTAGGGTCCCCAGCTGCAGCAGAAACGTGAAATATGACACCATGATCAAATGGACCATGCATTTTCAAGTACAAACATCATTTCTTTTCCTTAGCTGTGTGAAAAGTAACTTTTTCATTTTATATGATCCACCAAGGGGATCATGTGATATTCTGGAGGGGAGCCTGGGATTTTATCCCAAAAAATAAATTGCCTCCAAAAATTCTTGAACAAAATTATGCTTCATATCGTTGGGAAAATATGTAATTGTCTGCCATAAAGTGAGTGAGTGAGTTCGGTTTAACACCGCTTTTAACAGTATCCCAGTTATATCGCGGTGTGTCAGCTTAATGTGGGAGGAAAGCCTGAAGTGATGCAGGTCTCAGACATTTACCACTTCGGTGAAACCCACGAGCACGGGTATGATGCTGACAAACCTAGAAAAATAATCGGGGCGAACCAGGATTCGGACCCACAATCATAGGTTTCTGGTGTGCCCAAGGGACGCAACTCTGCACAGCGAATCGCGGCGCCTGTCTAGACTGGGCCACCCATGCCCCTTGTCTGCCATAAAAAGTACATCGTCGCAACATGTTTTTTCAAAAAAAAATTTTGACTCATAGTTTTAATTTTAAAAATATATGGTTGTGCATCTTCAGCCGATAAAGTTTCTCGTCATCCCCGCCATGGTCAGTCCCCAATAAAGATTGGGTGAAGTAGGAAACTTTATGTTTACTGACAAAAATAAAGTAAAAGTGAGGAAAATGATACAGGTAAAAAATAGATTGAATGTATGAAATTATGCAAAAAAAGGTTGATTTCCAGAACAGAAACATGATGCAATCATTTCAGGTAAGGAGACAAGGTCAAATCAATACTGCACTTGTAGGTGCTAGTTGTGCAAGGGGAGACAACTAAGTGTTACCTGTGGTAGGCCCCTCTTCTTGGCTCTGTTGCTGACTTTAGAGGGGTCAGCATTGAGCATCCTGCCATACTCCTCACAGTGTTCCTTGTCCTCCGCCCACGCATAGCCTACAGGATACAAAACACACATCATACAGCTTCCATACTCCTCACAGTGTTCCTTGTCCTCCGCCCACGCATAACCTACAGGATACAAAACACACATCATACAGCTTCCATACTCCTCACAGTGTTCCTTGTCCTCCGCCCACGCATAACCTACAGGATACAAAACACACATCATACAGCTTCCATACTCCTCACAGTGTTCCTTGTCCTCCGCCCACGCATAACCTACAGGATACAAAACACACATCATACAGCTTCCATACTCCATACAGTGTTCCTTGTCCTCCGCCCACGCATAACCTACAGGATACAAAACACACATCATACAGCTGCCATACTCCTCACAGTGTTCCTTGTCCTCCGCCCACGCATAACCTACAGGATACAAAACACACATCATACAGCTTCCATACTCCTCACAGTGTTCCTTGTCCTCCGCCCACGCATAACCTACAGGATACAAAACACACATCATACAGCTTCCATACTCCTCACAGTGTTCCTTGTCCTCCGCCCACGCATAACCTACAGGATACAAAACACACATCATACAGCTTCCATACTCCTCACAGTGTTCCTTGTCCTCCGCCCATGCATAACCTACAGGATACAAAACACACATCATACAGCTGCCATACTCCTCACAGTGTTCCTTGTCCTCCGCCCACGCATAACCTACAGGATACAAAACACACATCATACAGCTGCCATACTCCTCACAGTGTTCCTTGTCCTCCGCCCACGCATAACCTACAGGATACAAAACACACATCATACAGCTGCCATACTCCTCACAGTGTTCCTTGTCCTCCGCCCACGCATAACCTACAGGATACAAAACACACATCATACAGCTTCCATACTCCTCACAGTGTTCCTTGTCCTCCGCCCACACATAACCTACAGGATACAAAACACACATCATACAGCTACCATACTCCTCACAGTGTTCCTTGTCCTCCACCCGTGCATAACCTACAGGATACAAAACACACATCATACAGCTGCCATACTCCTCACAGTGTTCCTTGTCCTCCACCCGTGCATAACCTACAGGATACAAAACACACATCATACAGCTGCCATACTCCTCACAGTGTTCCTTGTCCTCCGCCCACACATAACCTACAGGATACAAAACACACATCATACAGCTTCCATACTCCTCACAGTGTTCCTTGTCCTCCGCCCACACATAACCTACAGGATACAAAACACACATCATACAGCTACCATACTCCTCACAGTGTTCCTTGTCCTCCGCCCACGCATAACCTACAGGATACAAAACACACATCATACAGCTACCATACTCCTCACAGTGTTCCTTGTCCTCCGCCCACGCATAACCTACAGGATACAAAATACACATCATACAGCTTCCATACTCCATACAGTGTTCCTTGTCCTCCGCCCACGCATAACCTACAGGATACAAAACACACATCATACAGCTTCCATATTCCACACAGTGTTCCTTGTCCTCCGCCCACGCATAACCTACAGGATACAAAATACACATCATACAGCTTCCATATTCCATACAGTGTTCCTTGTCCTCCGCCCACACATAACCTACAGGATACAAAACACACATCATACAGCTTCCATACTCCATACAGTGTTCCTTGTCCTCCGCCCACGCATAGCCTACAGGATACAAAACACACATCATACAGCTTCCATACTCCTCACAGTGTTCCTTGTCCTCCGCCCACGCATAACCTACAGGATACAAAATACACATCATACAGCTTCCATATTCCATACAGTGTTCCTTGTCCTCCGCCCACGCATAACCTACAGGATACAAAACACACATCATACAGCTTCCATATTCCACACAGTGTTCCTTGTCCTCCGCCCACGCATAACCTACAGGATACAAAATACACATCATACAGCTTCCATATTCCATACAGTGTTCCTTGTCCTCCGCCCACACATAACCTACAGGATACAAAACACACATCATACAGCTTCCATACTCCTCACAGTGTTCCTTGTCCTCCGCCCACGCATAACCTACAGGATACAAAACACACATCATACAGCTTCCATACTCCTCACAGTGTTCCTTGTCCTCCGCCCACGCATAACCTACAGGATACAAAACACACATCATACAGCTTCCATACTCCATACAGTGTTCCTTGTCCTCCGCCCATGCATAACCTACAGGATACAAAACACACATCATACAGCTTCCATACTCCATACAGTGTTCCTTGTCCTCCGCCCACGCATAACCTACAGGATACAAAACACACATCATACAGCTTCCATACTCCTCACAGTGTTCCTTGTCCTCCGCCCACGCATAACCTACAGGATACAAAACACACATCATACAGCTTCCATACTCCTCACAGTGTTCCTTGTCCTCCGCCCACGCATAACCTACAGGATACAAAACACACATCATACAGCCTCCATACTCCATACAGTGTTCCTTGTCCTCCGCCCACGCATAACCTACAGGATACAAAATACACATCATACAGCTTCCATATTCCATACAGTGTTCCTTGTCCTCCGCCCACACATAACCTACAGGATACAAAACACACATCATACAGCTTCCATACTCCTCACAGTGTTCCTTGTCCTCCGCCCATGCATAACCTACAGGATACAAAACACACATCATACAGCTTCCATACTCCATACAGTGTTCCTTGTCCTCCGCCCATGCATAACCTACAGGATACAAAACACACATCATACAGCTTCCATACTCCATACAGTGTTCCTTGTCCTCCGCCCACGCATAGCCTACAGGATACAAAACACACATCATACAGCTTCCATACTCCATACAGTGTTCCTTGTCCTCCGCCCACGCATAACCTACAGGATACAAAACACACATCATACAGCTTCCATACTCCTCACAGTGTTCCTTGTCCTCCGCCCACGCATAACCTACAGGATACAAAACACACATCATACAGCTTCCATACTCCTCACAGTGTTCCTTGTCCTCCGCCCACACATAACCTACAGGATACAAAACACACATCATACAGCTTCCATACTCCTCACAGTGTTCCTTGTCCTCCGCCCACGCATAACCTACAGGATACAAAACACACATCATACAGCTTCCATACTCCTCACAGTGTTCCTTGTCCTCCGCCCACGCATAGCCTACAGGATACAAAACACACATCATACAGCTTCCATACTCCATACAGTGTTCCTTGTCCTCCGCCCACGCATAACCTACAGGATACAAAACACACATCATACAGCTTCCATACTCCATACAGTGTTCCTTGTCCTCCGCCCACGCATAACCTACAGGATACAAAACACACATCATACAGCTTCCATACTCCATACAGTGTTCCTTGTCCTCCGCCCACGCATAACCTACAGGATACAAAACACACATCATACAGCTTCCATACTCCTCACAGTGTTCCTTGTCCTCCGCCCATGCATAACCTACAGGATACAAAACACACATCATACAGCTTCCATACTCCTCACAGTGTTCCTTGTCCTCCGCCCATGCATAACCTACAGGATACAAAACACACATCATACAGCTTCCATACTCCATACAGTGTTCCTTGTCCTCCGCCCACGCATAACCTACAGGATACAAAACACACATCATACAGCTACCATACTCCTCACAGTGTTCCTTGTCCTCCGCCCACACATAACCTACAGGATACAAAACACACATCATACAGCTTCCATACTCCTCACAGTGTTCCTTGTCCTCCGCCCACACATAACCTACAGGATACAAAATACACATCATACAGCTTCCATACTCCATACAGTGTTCCTTGTCCTCCACCCACGCATAACCTACAGGATACAAAATACACATCATACAGCTTCCATACTCCTCACAGTGTTCCTTGTCCTCCGCCCACGCACAATGTACAGGATACAAAACACACATCATACAGCTACCATACTCCATACAACTAACAGAAAGACATATTTTAACTTTTCAAACTTCAGTCAGCAAAACTCCAGAGATATCATTGTATATCCCAGCAGTCTGTAGGCCAGTCTGTAGGCCAGTCTGTAGGCCAGTCTGTAGGCCAGCACATACTCTAAACAGGGCCATGGATGTATTTAACCACTGATCATGAATGTGTATTATTCCATAAGTTTTAAAAGATGACTTCTAAATTCAGAAATCATGTACACAAAATATGTTCAGATTAATTATACTGACTGATTGAGTATGGTTTTACGCCGCTTTCAGCAATATTCCAGGAATATCACGGCGGGGGACACCAGAAATGGGCTTCACACATTGTACCCATGTCAGGAATCAGACCCGGGTCTTCGGCGTGACGAACGAACGCTTTAACCACTAGGCTACCCGACTGACACCAGATTAATTATAGCATCACAAGGATACATCCAACACAGACGTGTTGGCTACCCGACTGACACCAGATTAATTATAGCATCACAAGGATACATCCAACACAGACGTGTGTCCTACCTTCCCTCAGCGACCAGTCCATCCCCATCTCAAGGGCCTCCTCCAAGTTTCTGTAACACAGAGAGGGAATAGAGAAACTCAAAGTGGCTTCACAAACTGACGACATCAGACCACATGCAACACACCAGGTAATCCTTATCAGTCCAACATCAAGTATAAGATACAGAGAATCTCACCCAAGTGTCTTTGACACAAGTGATCTTGAAATTCTATATATCATCCAAAATCATTTTGCCAACTTTTTCAGTTTGTTAACAATAATATCCTGTGTCTTGGGTTTAAATTATACAATGTGTTCAAAAGTGTATTTTGTTGAGTAAATATACATGTATCATTATATTATCCTGACTCATACGAGCAATGCTGACGTGGGCTGTGACATGAGCGAGTGACATTGTGATTAAAATTTTCATGAGACGATCCCTCTTATGCTGTCATTCCCTGTATAATTGTGTAGCACATGTGTGTGCGCGCTGTTCCTCCTAGCGTTGTGCACCCCTCGGTTCAAGATGTCAACTTGTACACATAACAACATGATAGTTTCTTAAACAACTTTTTCCAGTGATGGGAATAAAAATAACAAACAGCAGATATTGTTGGGTACAGGGTATTCTTTGCCGGGTCCCGTATTGACATTTGATAGACATTTCCCGATTTTGAGTTATTTTGCAATTCACCGGTCTCATATGGTGCTAAACAGACTGTAACTGGGAACATTGTGAGCAGTGATGAGCTGGTTCAAATAAATCCCCTCAGTCACAACAGAGATTGTGTGGATCGGCTGATGCATAAGTTCGTCTGCACTTCTTCCAGGCCAGGCGTTTATCATGCCCCGTTTCCATAATATGCCGTAGATTGTTGATAGATTGAGGTAACTTAAATCCCCCAAAAGCCAATTCTCTACTACTCAAAACACGTTCCCACACATAGGCGATGAGAAAGAGAATGATGTGGTCAGGTCACATCGCTCGGGGTTACAATGCGTGACCCATGTGTTTCAGTGGTGACTATGGTAATGCTGGGATGTGTTCGAGCAAATTGTTTTTAGAAGTTGGAAACTTTGTTTTCGGATGTTTTTCATACAAAGATCGAAAGGAGAAGGAAGAAATGCATCGTGTGAGAAAGGATAAGTTCAAAACTGTATTAACAGAATAAACCAAGAGAGCTTGAGTACCCTAATCACAAGTAATGGTGTTTTGTACAATGCTTACTGGGCTGTCATGGGTATGATCCCCCGTGAGCCGACGCCCACTGGAATATGATCAAACAGGCACTGGGACAGCTGTTCCTTCAACGGGATCACATCCTTAGCATGGAGGTTTGTACGCAGGAGACGCACACCGCAGTTGATGTCGAAACCAACACCACCAGGGGAGACAACTGCAGTAGGGTCATTCATGTCAAAGGCTGCCATGTTACCTATTTAAACATTTAGAAAAAAAACATTTTTGAGATTAAAACTATAAATAAGAAACAGTTATCAGTTGGTTTAATGAAGTGAAACTACTCCTTATCGTTGGTGGCAACAACAGGTGAGATTAAAGAATGTATGAGAGCCAGGGATTCATTCACTGGGGAAACAACTTTGTAGAGCTAGGAGTATTAACTTGGTGAATGGAAGTTGGCGCATTATATTATAATTATTGTCCACTGATGAATCAAGGTGAACAGGCTAAGCCAGAACTTGATGAAATAAAAGACAAAATTTAACCATTAGAGCTTTCACGTTTCACGGCTTAGCCAAAAAAAAACACAATTAATTTCTTTTATTAATACAAAAATGTACAAAAATATGGGTGGGTTGGATGTAACCATATATCATGGCATTCCAGCTTACTTACTGTTCACTAAGGCAAGATGCTTTTTTTATTGTTTACAAATTTGGCTAGAGAAAAATTTAGTTGTAAGTCGGAATACAGATTTTTTAAATTATCTTGCAGTTTGATTTGGATAAGCATGATAAGTAGGTGATGAAAAAAATATAACCATGTTCTGGTTTGAGGCTTTACAAATATTAGTTATCTAAAATATCTAAAATATCTAAAATATCTAAAATATCTAAAATCTGACTACAGAATTTGCCTTGTACATGTTGTACATATTGTAATGATGATTTTTCATTGGAAAAAAATCTTTTTTCGTCATATATAAAAATACCTTGGATTTTGTTCATTGTCAAAGCGAACTTTACCATTAAAGGTATAAACATTATACATCTAAACCTTGTCATTCTGATTGTTTTCCTTTTCTGAATTTTTGATTATTAAGTTGGGGGGATCTGCAAACTAAGCAAAACAAAGTGTGAAGCCCAACAACGTCTAACTCACCAATTGCGAAGCCATACCCAGAATGAACATCTGGAAGTCCAATAGATTTCTGAAATGATATTTGTTCTACTCAGTTCATAGTGTACACTGGACAAAAGCAAAGAGTACTGATATACGAAATGTGCAACAAAAATGTCATTCAGATGAAACGAACTGACAAAACAATTCTACAAACAGAAATAGCATGAATAGTTTCATCCCAAATATTTCAAGGATTATTACAAAAATATTCCTGTAGCCACTTAGCTTGATGCCACAGACTTGAAAAAACAAGGATTTGATTATTGGCTATTGTTTTGTCTGTAATTAGGAAAAAAATAAAACCTTGAGATATATTAGGACAATAGTCTCAGGAACAATGTTAAAACTATATGAGGTGAGGTGACATGCAATCTCATTAGAATCAGATCATAATTCTCGCTGCTGCTAAACGAAGATCTGAGGACATCCCATTACGGGTCATGTCAGAACGACCTTTCGCGAACTTTGACCGACCACTGAAATGATTAACAAGAAGTCGACATCAGCCAATTAGAAAGCAGCTTTCTCGAGCTTTACGGCACTCGTTTCAACCTGGCCACTACTATTTCAGACTACGCTTGAAAAATATGTTGATACAGTTCTCGATTAAAATTTTGAAAACTGAACAAACGCACATTCCGGAATGTCTAATATATGGTTGAGATTGTATGGCAGTGCTTCCCACATACCGTGCAATGCCTCCTTCCTTCAAATGTTTATTACACGGAAGCGAGAGACAGACGAGTCTTTTGACGGAATCAGTCGTACGGGCCGTAACTGCCGTTAGGAATACCCCGTGTTAACATTTTTGAGGTTGCATGATAAGCAAACACATTCCGACAGTCCCTTTCATGATCTGGTAAGCGACGCTTTGATTGGTCGGATGAAAGGTCGTTCTGATGTGACCCGTATTGGGATGTCCTCAGATCTTTGTTTGGTGATAGCGAGAACTAAGATCTGATTCTAATGAGATTGGGTGAAATGGGCTTTACCCTTGCATTTAAGATAACTGCACTTAAATAGAGACGCCCATGCATGTGTGTGTTGCTGCCCGTACTAGTCCGGACTAAAGCCGATTCTATACTGCTAGCCCACTGAGATACCATGTCGCAGTTTAACATGAATACTCCTCTCGAACACAGGATACAGATTCTGAACCGACCAGTCCTTCAGCTCCTTAACATGTTAAAATGCTGAGGGTCAGGCAGGGTGACAACAAGTATCATCTTTAAACATCTTTTTGTATTACACAGCTGGGGATAACGACTAGACCGTGGAGGTGGTCTAAAACTATGTACTAAATCCTGTTATTGGTGAAATTGCAAAACAATACTAAGGGGGTATCATAACTTATTTGAACTGGGAACTATTTACTTCAATTTAGGCGATTTTTTAAGTAGACTTAGAGCTGCTTATCAACATCTGATAACACCAAGATAAATGCTCCAAATAAAACAGAATAATGGTGTCTAGCAGATAGGTTACCATGGTTACATACCGATACAATTCCAGGTAGAGCAGCAACATTAGCAATCTGCTTCATCCCCGGAAGAAAGCCGCCGAAACCTTTACTGTTACACGAGTGCTTCAATTCATCAAACATCAGCTTCTCCAGGCGTTCATTTGTGTAGAAATAACCGTCAACCTGAAACAGCAAACAAAGTTGAGTTTAATAGTATTTTAAATATTTCAGTTCCATATTTCAGATCTGGGTTAGAATTAATCTTCAGCAACTCATGCTTGTTTGTAAGAGGCCCCAAAGAAGGATTGGATGATCATACTCGCTGACTTGGTTGATGCATGTCATCGTAACGAAATCGCAATTTCATACATGGATACTGATGATGTCCATCACTGGATTGTCTGGTCCAGGCTCGATTTTTTTCAGACTGCTATTAAAGAGTTGGAATATTGCATTAAACAACAAACGAACATTTTAATTCTTACTTTCATGTTTTCAACAAATCCCTTCTTGATGTGCCAGCAGTTGGCGGAGATTTTCTCCAAGTACTTGAGCTCGTCATTATATGTCCTCATGTTGATGCCAGCATGTACAACTTGTCTCCTGAAAATTGCAACATTCATCAGCATTCTCACATATGATCATTTTGCAGATGGATTGCAAACTGTCATCTGCCATCTTTGGTTTGATGATCTCACATTCATTAGCAGCAATAACTGGTCACACTCATTTGAAATGTGTCTCACTTTAGGTCACTAAGTGCATGATCAAGCAACTTGGGATCCAAACAGTCAATGTCACACATACATTCACACTACTGATCATGTTGATGCCTGAGGCATGACAAACTCTGGCATTAAAAAGATAATAAGATTGGACCAATAACAGGTCATTTTCTAAACCGGTATTTTCTCAACCTAGTTGTTTCGTATCCTTTTCTGACATTTTGGAACCTGGTAGTTTTGGTTCCCGCTGTTTGTTTTGTAACCAGTTCGTTTCTCATCCCTGGGTTATTTAGTATCAATTTATTTGTTAATAATAAAACTGACAATATATTCGCTAGTTACAGGTAGTTAGAGCTCAAAGAAACAAGAATTGACTAGCAAAACTACCTCTATATTGCTTGATACGAAATGACCTGAAACCTGAAACTTCCTTACTTACAAATCTTACTTTGTTGATCAATCTAGTCAGAAATTATTTTAATGGCATAATGTCACAATAAATATGTAATATAGACAATATTTAAGTAATCACAATATCTAAGACTTAGACAGAACATAGCTGATATGTCATAACTGGTAACTGTCATCTTTGGCTACAGCCGCGATGGGGTCCTACAGTCAATACATGTCTCGACTGTAAGACCCCATCGCGGCTCTCGCCTCCTGTCATCAATTGTTTCACGCTGTTACTTTCACAGCTTGCTGTATTTGGTATGTTTTTCTTAGGTATTCAGTGACAAGGTAAGGTATCTTTTAAATGAAATGATAACAAATAAATTGATATAGGTGTTCTTCAATAATGCCTATTCGGCATAACGTGCGCGAAAACCGAAACAAAATCAAGTCATCATGGCGGCACACATTGTATAAACGTGTTGTGAAATCATGCAACTGAATTACTTTTAAGGCGTATTTCTTGAATTGCAATTAATTTCAGGTCCAGCTAAACAATAGAAATATGACCATCCGACATGTCGGTCTGTTCAATGTATCAATGTAAAGATAATTCCAGATATTCTTACTTCGCCGATACGTTGACTGTCTCACAGTTTTCTGGCTCGGCAGCTGAAGAACTGAACAAGGGAGGTAACTCTTAAACCCCGTACCTTCAAGGTGACGATTTTTACGATATAACTGAGTAACGCGTAATATGTTTATTTCCCCGAATTCAAAGGGATGGAACGAATGTTTAGAACGCGTGTTAAACAATCAAAAAGGACTTATCTCACAAAAATGAAATAAATATGAAGGTGGTGATAACCTACAATACACGTTTTAAAACACCAAGCTTCGAAAAATTATCATTTATCATTACAATAAAAGTAATTATTATTGTCATAAACAAGAAGACAGTATGACGTGACGCACTAAAGTTCGACAACAATATATTCTAGTTTCTTCCCAACAAAACGTTTTCAGAATAATTATATGCACTCTCATTAATTTTTGTTAATGACATGGAAATTAAACCTAATAAAAACGCAAATCAAATTCAATTTGAAAAAAACCATCACCTTCAAATATCTTTTCCGAGACTACAAAGCACAGAGAGCTGAATATGTGCAAGTGAAGACCGAAGATAAAGAAGTGTATTTTATATGTTCGACATCTTCGTTGGCATTTTATGAATTGATAATTGAAAATAATGTTGCGAAAATTCAAAACAAACATTTTAAACTGCAAAACCAAATGTCGTGCACCTTGCATCAGTGTTGCAGTATGGTAATCATAGTAAATACCTTTAGATATGCTTGGAATAAGTGCAATGGTCTTGAACTCGACCGTATTCCTAGCCATAACTTGAAAACCGTTCAATGTTTTTCAACGAAACTTGGCATATGAATTGCTCAGGTTATCTGGTGCCTGTTTGCATTAAAACTGTTTTATGTTTCCATGGAAACAATTTCGACTGAACTAATACACCGTTCACTTGCAACTCTATACATATGTGTGTATATTTGCATGTGTGTAAATACGCGAGTATACTTATCGTGTGAACGTGTTTACTCATGTGTGTATATTTACACCCGGAGCAAATTTGCATGATTATATATGATTTACCGACACCTAACAAATCGGCAACAGTTCTGTTGACGCTATCCAGAATACAGTAATACCAGCTTTTATGCGGACTTTCAGAGCTGGGCGGCGGTGTTTTCTTTGGGTTTCAAGGTGTCAAAAATTGTGTACAGATAAAATCAAATACATTTTGCTTCATGCGAAGAGTTATGTGAGGTATCTCTCTTCTCATTCGACGTTGACTGGAAAACAGCAGACATGAACAGACCGATGAATGTGTGTGACTCACATACCTCATTTACAATTCTTAATTTTCACGTGATTACATGTTCATGTGAAATTTACATGTGCACGCGTACGTATAATTACACATGTGCACAATTACTTACGTGAATCTGTGGTGTACATGTGGACGGGGTATTAGTCTCAAATGAGGATAAGGTTCGTTTCCGAGGCCATAACTTGAAAAAACGTTCAGCGTTTTTCGGGGAGAGACACGTTTTCATGCGTAAAAAATTGTCTAGTTTATGAGTCTGCTGGTGATTTAGTCAATTTCCAGAACCATTAGCTGAGTGCTTGCTTACACTAGCACCAATGCCCTGTGGGCCAGTAAATATGTAAACGTATATTCAAATATATTTATTGGATTTGTGAAAGAAAAACATACACGAATGTAAAGTAATAGCATGTACTGTGAGAAGTTGTAAATGTCTAAACACGATCAGTGACTAAATTCCTAAAGACAGCAACGGCGAGGGATATTCATGACTTAAGTTTCTTGTTTCATTCCCATATTTTGTTATTGGAATCTTGCAATCTATTTTCAATTTTCTCTTGTCGGTGGCAGTTCGCATAAACCACAACTGCAGCCATGATAGACACCAGAGCTTCCAGAGCGAGGCTAAGGATGAGTTTCGGGTACCCTCTAACCCAGGTTCCTGTCATCTGGCATTCGTGACCAACTCGTGTTATTCCGGGACAAGCCGAAATGCAGGTTACGGAAAGGGGCGAGTGGTGACGAATGGTCATCTGGAAGACCAGAGAGAGGATCTACAAAGCATGAGGAATCATTGCCCATGTTCTCAGACTAACCAAGTTATGGCATTGAAAATAGTGACCACTAGGGCTGGGACGGGTAACTCGGGTACCCCGGTCGTATGGGTACTGAGTAGAACCCGGGTACCCACCAGGACTACCCGGACCCGTGGTTAGTCATGTGATATATCGTTTAATGCCAAAAAGTATCTAGGACTCTATGGTTACACTACAAGTCACTAATGTTCGCATTTCTTTCTGACTGTGCACCCATTCCTTCTGATTTCTCATATGGTTGAATAAAGATATAACTTAATTCAACTTCAGTGTATGCATGACCAGATTGACCAGATGACGTGTATCCAAATAAGTTTTGCCAGGGTTATGCTAAAAATGTTCATAATCGGACATTTAAAGACATCTCCTGAGACCTACAGTGGGTACCCGGGTAGGGTCGGGTAATAGGGGGGTGGGTACCCGGGTAGTAAATTTGAACTCGTCACAGCCCTAGTGATCACCCTGAAATACCCAAGAACTGTTTCATTTTTTTCTGGCAAACTTTGATTCTGGGAACACTGCCATTACAGCAAGGTAAAATATGTTTTTCAGGAAATAACCTTTTTGCCTTAAAGAACGACATTGACCTGACAGATTCTTTTGTTGAACATTTTCTGTATTAATAGCCTCACGTACCACGTATCATATAGGGTAGCCATTGTGCAAGAAACGCTCTTTAAACAACAAATTCTCGGAGGTTTTGTACATGACTTTATCATTGACTTCATCTTGTCTGACTTATTTGCTTCTTACTGTACTTGTGCAATCACCGATAAATTGTTCATATTCGTCCTCAAGTGGTAAGTGCTTAACTTTACTGAAAGAAAGTGTCTGTTAAGGATGAATTTGTTGCATATGTCATCATTCGTATTAATGAATAACATACAGTGAATATTTACAGCTTGGAAGAGAAAAAATAAAATCTGATTTGAAGGTATATCTTTAATGAAAAATAACAACTGCCAGACAGTTATTCTAAAACATGGAGAAGATGTCATATGTGCCGTAAAACCTGAACTTATGTGCCAAACCTGTATTTGCAAGTGCATGTTTTCTTATTGTTGTCATCTTGTAATCCCAATGCTACCCAAGTCCTTTCACATAACACTCAAACCACACACTAACATATAACCTCCCTCCGACCTGCTTACATACCCAAGTTCTCGGTACTACATTAACATGGTATTGAAAACAAACAAGACTGTAATCCACAAACCAGTCTATTTCCTGTTGACATAGAGCTGATTTCTTTCATAACGATTTACCGCGGGGGATACATTTTGAAGATAATTTTGATGTTATTTTGATATTTGTGTTTTGTGTAAAATATTTAGACATCCACACTGTGCCCCATTGAATTGACTGAATATCTTTGAAGACATATAAAACTTAACGTTGAGTATATTTCATCTGGCTTGCAGCTTGCACTAGTAAGTGTAGAACACGAAAGATTTCTGTAGTATTTTCATCTATAGCTCTGTATGTTATTTTTTTGTTATTTTGAGGAATTCATTTTCTTCCCGAAATTTAATACAAATAAAAAATCTCTCTGTTGTGATGTAATTTGTCCTTGTTTCTGTGTGGATCAGTCATCTTCCCAAGGCAAGGGAGATAACTGACTATGTAAGTCCAGTTTCCACGAGAAACTGGACTTTTATAGTCAGTGTAAACATGCACTTACTTTCCACGGGAAACTGGACTTTTATAATCAGTTATCTCCCTTGCCTCGGGAAGATGGGATCCTAATAGGTTAGTAGGTTGACCAGTCCAAAATAATGTTCAAGTTCATAATACATTACCAGTCGTTAGTTATTACATGGTGAAGGGAGGTGACGAATTGCTTGAACCACTGGACCACTAATGGCTCCCAGGAAAGACAAAGGCTGAGCTACTTGGATCACTGCTCAAATTTTCAGTCACTGGTTTATGACAGCTTGGACCAGTGCCGACATTCAACCTCTGGTTTATTTCTAGCCACAGAGGGGCGGTCGGGTAGCCTAGTGGTTAAAGCGTTCGCTCGTAATGCCGAAGACCCGGGTTCGATTCCTGACATGGATACAATGTGTGAAGCTCATTTCTGGTGTCCACCTCCTTGACATTGCTGGAATATTGCTAAAAGCGGCGTTAAACCATACTCACTCACTCTAGCCATAGGGCACACAGGAAGGCACATAGTAAGCTACAACAATTAAATACACTGTCTGACAGGCGGTGTCACTGCTCATATTATCATCTGCCCCAAGCATGACCACTTGGGCTATTGCAGACTGTGGTAAACTTAATTTGCTTACTTTTTCTCATTCTACCCTGTGAAGATCCTGGATAGAATAGGTCTTCAGCAGCCGATGCTTGCCGTACCAGGTGACTATGCTTGTTGTAAGTGGTAACTAAGGGATCGGGTTGTCGGGCTCGCTGACTTGGTTGATGCATGTCATCGTATCCCAATTGTGTAGATCAATGCTCATGATGTCAATCACTGGATTATCTGGACGAGACTCAATTATTTACAGACTGCCGTCATATGACTGGAATATTGCTGATTGCGACGTTAAACAAACAAAGCAAAACACCCCAGGGGGTAGAACAGGTCCCCCTGCAACCTATACTTGTCATACAAGGCAAGTATATTAATCAGATAGTTAGGTCCGGGCCTCTGGGGACTTGGTTGATTGCATGTCATCGTACCCAAACAGCTTTGGACATTGCTCATGATATCGAACGCTTGATTGTCTCATCCATACTCAAATATATCCATGCCACTGTCATATAGCTGGGTTATTGCTGAATGCACTCAGATCTCAATACTCTACATACAACAATCACCAATGTTATTTGAGATTCTTTATTGAGCTTGACTGTACATCGAGAATATAAACATGACAACAGAATATGTACATATATCCACAATATACTGTACAGTGAAGACCACAGACAACACAGCGTGGGTAGCACCACGCTCACTGCTGCCTGGAGATATGGCTCAATTTGAAACAAAAACTTAGGCACCTAAATCACAAACATAAACAAACAATACTTTTAGTGTTTCAGTCTTTGAATCATAACACGGGAATGTTTTCGTCCTCAGACTAACAAAATATAATACATATTTCTGAATTTTAAACTCTTAATCGCCTCTATGAAATTATAATATATCTACATTGAGATAACAAAAATTGGGTTTAAAGCTTGCTAGAACAGGGGGGTGACTGTCAACATATTTAAGACTGATCGGTTAATCATCTTTATAATGCAAGGAGATATTTCAGTGGTCTTGTTTCAATATACTGAAAAGTTTGAAAAACTATGGGAAATCCATTCATGAGCACATTTTCTATTTGTAGTGGGAAACTAGTAAATTAACCATTGAAATAAAATGTCTTAAAACAATGATTGGAAGTCTGTTTCAATGAACGAATCATAAATGATCAAATAGTTTGTATGTGACAATCCATAGGCATATGTCAAATGAAGCATGCATACATTCATGAAATCTGAGTGGAAGGCCCACCATCAGGGGGAATAATCCAGAGATATCTCCCTGGAAGGGGACAGTTTAAAAAAAAAAAAGACAAATGAAAAAATCAATTTCATAATTTGTTGAAACATATTTATTGTTGGGAGTAAATCTGTTTAAGGAAAATTTGAGACTTGTCATATAATTTCACATTACAACAGATTGAGGATATGTTACAACATTAAATGGTTCTTATTTTAAGGCTCTCTCGTATTGGACTCATAATAAAATCCCAGGTTTATATATATAAAACTTTGATTTGGAGGATAACACTAAAAAATAATAAAAATAGTTGAATAAATTTGAGGGTGATCATGAAAAAGAATTAATTACTTAAATTAATTTAATTGGCCTAATGAAGACTAGAATCTGATAATCACTTTCTTACAATCGTGTCTCGGAGTTGCAAACAGACGTATGATCGATGCTCAACAGGAATGCTTAGTGTGAAATGGACTAGAAATAAATTAAGGTAACTATATGATCATTAAATCCACCAGTACCACTAATGGCTTGTCAAGAGTGGTCACTATCGTCAACAACTTACATGGCTTCATCGCAAAATAAGTTAAAACCCACCATTACCCTTGAGAACTTGGCAGTGGCTTTTACAACAGAAAACCAACATTCATAATGTGCTACTTATGTCAACCAATCATATTGACAGTTGAACTGTCAATCAACAGACAAGCCAATCATATGAGGTTATGTATGCTAACACTCCGCCCAGCGGTAATCAAATATATATATGATTGACCCTCTGACACAACAGAGGGTATGTCGAATGATTTGCACTAATTGGAGGAAATCTATATATTACGGCGTTAATGATGCATTGTACAGGCTAATACAAGAACACTTAATATTAGTAGGAAGAGGAATACGTCATATTTTCATTCCACTTTTTAGACTTGTCAAATTCAGTTTCTTGTTTAATGTAGACCCTGAATTGTTATTGAAAAAGCAAGAATATATGTCTTTTGACTGAAATATGCTTACCATATATTATTAAATTTGTATTTTTATTATAGTTTTTTTTAAAGGTAATCAACCTCAAAATAATTTCTTTGTCAATGGCATATTGATCGTTTCTCAAATTGGGTTGACTGGTTCATATACATTGTTATCATAAAGCAGTTATTACAATGATTATTCTCATCAAAAACATCAACACTCACAGACCACTCTCTGGTCTTGGCATACACTTACATGTTAAAGAAGACACCGAAATGACAACAAAGTCTTAGTTACAAAATACCAGTGATCATAAAGTACATTTCTAAATTTACAAACATAATTTGTGCAAATAGTGAATAAGGAATAAAAAAAACATAGCGCCTTGCTTCAATCCTTTGAAAAGTTCAACAATTGTTTTTATAATAAAGCATGCAGGTGTCATGTGACTGGCGAGTGCCTTCAAGTTTAAAGATAGGGCTCCTTTTCACCAAGTGCTTTTTGCACAAAGAAAATCTTAAACCCATACCTCAACATTCACTTAGCACTAAGATCACTTTGTGCAACACATCCAACTTTAGAAAACAGTGGTACGAAATTCCACAGTCAATGTTTAAATATGGGAGTTGCAATCGTCTTAGCACCAAGATCACTTCGTGGAACATAGCCCCAAGAACAGAGCCCTACACTGCTAAGCGGTACATTTGTCCCAAGTCAATGTTTAAGTATGGAAGTCATGATCGTCTTAGCGCTAAGATCTCTTTGTGGAACGGTGAGCAACACCGTATTCGACGTAATAAGCGCCCTGGGCGGTCTCAAAATTAGAAATAGGGGGCTCTTATTAGAATATTATTTTGGTGAAAAAAGCAGAGTTGAAAGATAAATTTTGTGGTTTATGCTGACAGCCTGAAATGTTTATGTACGACAGATATATTTTTCAAGAATTTAATTGCCCATAATTAAAGGTGCATATAACACACGAGTGCGTATTATACGCGAATAAATAAGTCTTGTGAACATTGATCAATCGGAAGGGGTGCTAATTGGGATTGTTCACTAGCCAATATATAGCAAATATTGCCGTGGACGCTTATTAGAGCGGGGTGCTTATTACGTCGAATACGGTAATACACTGTTAAAACATGGCATGTACCTTGTCAAAATTACTGAATTTGATTACTGTATTGCTTTTGAAGACATGGAAAATTTCTTCTGAAAAGAAACCCAAACATTGTGATTGTCTGAATAATTACCCTACCTGCATTCCTAGACAAGTATACATATGATAAATACTGTGTAACAACTCACAACAGGAAGGCTGACACCTTTGTTCATATTGGAACATAATGCTACATTATATATCAGTATATCTCACAGAGGCTGTTATCTCAGGTTAACAAGACAACTGTGCAGCTGACATACTAAACATGTAAACACTGTAACAACATGAAAACAAGCCACACCTCAAACAACAGTTACCCATGCTATTAATAATAGACTAAAAAAATGTCAATTTATTATTTTCTGTATCTGTATCACTCTACTGCTGATATGTATACTGTATTCGACATAATAAACGCCCAGGGCGCTCTCAAAATTAGAAATAGGGGGCTCTTATTAGAATATTATTTTGGTGAAAAAAAAAACAGAGTTGAAAGATTGTAAATTTCGTGGTTTATGCTGACAGCCTGAAATGTTTATATACGACAGATATATTTTTCAAGAATTTAATTGTCCATAATTAAGGATGCATATAACACACGAGTGTGTATTATACACGAATAAATAAGTCTTGTGTACATTGATCAATCAGATGGGGTGCTAATTGGGATTGTTCACTAGCCAATATATTAGCAAATATCGTCGTGGGTGCTTATTATGTGGAATACAGTAGTTCTACTATTTCAGGTCTGAATGTTGCTTGAAGATGTCATGCAAATTGTATGCAATGTTGTCACGACACATCTTCTGCTTCATGTCAAATTTAATATTTGTACATATTTTATTTCTCTTCGCAGCTGTCTCTAAAGCGTTGTACCACTATAAAAGTGTTGTACCAGTATAAATGTCTCCTTAAAAGTTGTTAAGTATATTCATCTTGTATATAAATTTCACAAAAAATAATTGAAATTTGAATACATGTATATCATTTACATCTCAAAATGATAATCTAAAGGATGTATGCATTTCTACTTCCAATACCGCAATGTGCAGCTAGGCATCCACACCTCCTAGCTTTCCCCAGTTAACTCCACTCCTCCTAGCTGTCCCAGTTAACTCCACTCCTCCTAGCTGTCCCGGTTAACGCCATTCCTAGATGTCCCAGTTAACACCACTCCTCCTAGATGTCCCAGTTAACTTCACTTCTAGCTGTCCCGGTTAACCCCACTCCTCCTAGCTGTCCCAGTTAACTTCACTTCTAGCTGTCCCAGTTAACCCCACTCCTCCTAGCTGTCCCAGTTAACCCCACTCCTCCTAGCTGTCCCAGTTAACCCCACTCCTCCTAGCTGTCCCGGTTAACCCCACTCCTCCTAGCTGTCCCAGTTAACTTCACTTCTAGCTGTCCCCAGTTAACCCCACTCCTCCTAGCTGTCCCAGTTAACCCCACTCCTCCTAGCTGTCCCGGTTAACCCCACTCCTCCTAGCTGTCCCCAGTTAACCCCACTCCTCCTAGCTGTCCCGGTTAATGCCATTCCTAGATGTCCCAGTTAAATCCACTCCTCCTAGCTGTCCCCAGTTAACCCCACTCCTCCTAGCTGTCCCCAGTTAACCCCACTCCTCCTAGCTGTCCCCAGTTAACCCCACTCCTCCTAGCTGTCCCCAGTTAACCCCACTCCTCCTAGCTGTCCCAGTTAACCCCACTCCTCCTAGCTGTCCCCAGTTAACCCCACTCCTCCTAGCTGTCCCAGTTAACCCCACTCCTCCTAGCTGTCCCCAGTTAACCCCACTCCTCCTAGCTGTCCCCAGTTAACTCCACTCCTCCTAGCTGTCCCCAGTTAACCCCACTCCTCCTAGCTGTCCCCAGTTAACTCCACTCCTCCTAGCTGTCCCAGTTAACACCACTCCTCCTAGCTGTCTCCCGTTAACCCCACTCCTCCTAGCTGTCCCCAGTTAACCCCACTCCTCCTAGCTGTCCCCAGTTAACTCCACTCCTCCTAGCTGTCTCCCGTTAACCCCACTCCTCCTAGCTGTCCCCAGTTAACCCCACTCCTCCTAGCTGTCTCCCGTTAACCCCACTCATCCTAGCTGTCCCCAGTTAACCCCACTCCTCCTAGCTGTCCCCAGTTAACTCCACTCCTCCTAGCTGTCCCCAGTTAACTCCACTCCTCCTAGCTGTCCCAGTTAACACCACTCCTCCTAGCTGTCTCCCGTTAACCCCACTCCTCCTAGCTGTCCCTAGTTAACCCCACTCCTCCTAGCTGTCCCCAGTCTCTTGTTTTAAGACAAATTGTTATTTGGATGTACAACTGTAATGGTAAGACATGTTTATTTTTGTTCTCTCTGTTCAGACAAATAGACAAGTATTATCAATCAGTGAGAATATATTTAATAATAACGAAGACATATATACATGATTTGAGGAAATGTTTCTAATGTTCTGAGGTGTCAGTTGTAAATTGCACATTTTGTGTCCTGTGATCTTGACACTGAGGTTGCATGAGTGTGTGTCCGGGACAGTGTCGTAACGCCATCATAGACAGTGTCATGACATCACTGAGAGTGTCACAACCCCATCATAGACAGCGTCATAACCCTATCATAGACAGTGTCATAACATCATCGAGAGTGTCGTAACCCCATAATTGACAGTGTTATGACATCTTGACAGTGTCATGACATCACTGAGTGTCATAACCCAATATTTTACAGTGTCATAACCCCATCATTGACAGTGTCATAACCCTATCGTTGACAGTGTCACAACCCCATCACTGACAGTGTCATAACTCCATCCTTGACAGTGTCACAATCCCATTATTGACAGTGTCACAACACCATCACCGACAGTGTCATAACACCATCACCGACAGTGTCATGACATCACTGAGAGTGTCATAACCCAATCACTGAGAGTGTCATAACCCCATTGTTGACAGTGTCACAACCCCATCACAGACAGTGTCACAACACCATCACAGACAGTGTCATAACCCCATTGTTGACAGTGTCACAACCCCATCACCGACAGTGTCATAACCCCATCACAGACAGTGTCACAACACCATCACCGACAGTGTCACACCACCATAACCAACAGTGTCACAACACCATCACTGACAGTGTCATAACCCATCTTTGCAGAAATAAAGAGGTTCGTGGTTGGGTGCCCAGTCAGTTACTGTTAAACTGGTCTAGATGACAAAACATGAGTTTGTCAGATGAGAGTAGTGTTCTTGTGTATGATCAAATTCAGACACGCTACGATTGCCAACTTGCCGAGCTCAGCCCGTCATTACAACATGTACCACAATACATAACAATAAGCCATGAGAAAATTGTTTTATGCCCTAATATTCCTCCTTCGCTGGCCTGCATAGGAAATGTTCAGTCCATTCCTCCTGTTGATAACCTTAGAAGTGTCATGAATAAACAGTAATAGACATGAACAGTGACCTGGCCTTGGGCAGGCATGGCCAACATGTCCGTCAATTACTCAATACAATAAATCATTTTAACAATAGTCAAATATATGAATGTATTATCTGAAAGTTATATTCTTCATATATAACAGTTAAATATTTTTTTTTTTATAATCAATGAACGTCAGCTTCACCAGCCGACTGAGACACAAAACTGAAAAAGACTGATTAATCAGTCCACAGTGTTTTCCTTCATAAATAGTGGTGGCTTGCCACCTTCATGTCACGACATGGGAATCTCATGAAATCCATCATAAACGTTACATACATACAATATCTTCTTCCATATGTACACACTGATTGCCATTTCAAAATCGTAAACATCAACCACATCGTCATTGTCTTGTGTGTGAACCATGGGCTTCACAGGGCCGTGTGACAAGACAACACATCCATAAAGACGCTTGCAATCAATGGAACTTGTAAGCACAAGTGTGCTAAACCACAGCGAGTGTCATGGCATATCCCTGCCTCTTTGGTATGATAGGTGGCCGGCCAACACATGGCACAGAGTTATCTCCCTTACATGGCACAGCTGCAAGGAGTTGAGAGTTTTTGGAGTTGCCTCCCTTGCACTATAACCACCTGAGCAGTTGCTGCTGCGTCTATGTGGTCACTATGGAGGCGTGTGGGGGAGACCCAGATGGCGAGGAACAAGATGATCCGTGACAGTTGCTCTCTTTCTCGGCTTTTATTCTTAACCATGTGTCGCCTAATGCCTTAGCAAAGTGGTCATCAACTGAGCCGGCAAACATGTCCTTGACTGGGTCCGACTTGGCTTTTATGGCCGTCCACGTTGTGTCTCCCAGCGACTTGGCAAAGTGATCGTCAACTGAGCCTGAAACCAATCAGATATATTCCATACAGTTTCAAGTGTGTAATGTATCCATGTTTTTTCTTGGTCATATATATTTTGAGAATTGTTTATTTGTCCTTTTCCCGATATCGTCAGATTATGTATTTTCGGACATTATACATTTTCAGAAGGCCCTGTTTATCACAGTTATTCACAATAACAAGTGGTGTGGCGTCGCACAGACATTGTAAATATTTGGATAATGGCATGTTTTTAAGTTAAAGTTGTCTTTATAAGTGGGTGACTAACGGGATCAGGTGGTCAGGCTCGCTGACTTGGTAGATGCATGTCAGTGTGTGGATTGATGCTCAGGATATCAATCACTGGATTGTCTGGTCCAGACTCGATTATTTACAGACCGCCGTCATATAGCTGGAATATTGCTTAGTGCGGCGTTATAAAACAAACAAACAAAATATAAGTGTGTGAGATAATTTACAGTTGTTCATGTGAAAATTAAGAATATTTCTTAAGCGTCCGATATGGACACATGGATATTTCTGACTACTGGCGTCAGGATATTTCAAGATTCAGCAATGGATTTATCATATCATGGCAGAGTTATGTAACACAATGGCTGATTTAAAAATGGCCAAAAATTTCTGAATGTATGAATGTGTCTTATGGTTCAAATGGGATGGGCGGGGGGGCGCACCCTGGGGGAGCGCACCCTGCCTCGGGATCTGCGAATGTCGTACATGCTGCAGTCTAAAGCTGCCACCGCTGCTTCACTCACCTGTGATGGAGACGTTAGCATGCACTGCAGTGGCAGCAGCGACAGTTGTGGTTGTTGTTTTGGTCTGGATAGAATCTTTGTAGTTGTGGCCCAAGGATCTGCGGAAGTGTTCCTCAATGGCTGGATCTGTCACTACTGCAAGAAAAATTGTCATCTTAATTCAACAGGTAACATAATGCATCATCAAACGGTACCACAGGTAACAGAATGCATCATCACAAGGTACCACAGGTAACAGAATGCATCATCACACGGTACCACAGGTACCAGAATGCATCATCACACGGTACCACAGGTAACAGATTGCATCATCACATGGTACCACAGGTAACAGAATGCATCATCACAAGGTACCACAGGTAACAGAATGCACCATCACAAGGTACCACAGGTAACAGAATCCACCATCACACGGTACCACAGGTAACAGAATCCACCATCACACGGTACCACAGGTAACAATAATATATAGTAAAAAGACAATAATACATCAGATCCCACATCTAACAATAATATTTGTCATAATTTGTTTGTTTGTTGTTTAACGCCGCACTCAGCAATATTCCAGCTATATGACAGTGATCTGTAAATAATCGAGTTTGGACCAGACAATCCAGTAATTGATATCATGAGCATCGATCCATGCAATTTGGATCAGTGACATGCACCAACCAAGTCAGCAAGCCTGACCACCCAATTCCGTTAGTCGCCTCTTACGACAAGCGCAGTCGCCTTTTACGGCAAGCATGGGTGATTTTGCAGTGAAGTTTCCGTTAGTATATTCACAGGTTGAAATTAATTCTTTCCGACACAATTACATTCATATTGCAAACATGTGCATGAAAGTCATACATGAATATTTCATGGGTAGTTATCTACAGACTTTGTGAGTTATCAGAAGCACTGATGAAGTCTAAGCGATTACTCCAGCCCTTATGACTAGTTCAAGAAATAACGTTCAAACATTGTATATCAATTGATGAAAATAACTGGGTTTTTTCTCCCCTCTATTGATATGTTTTACTGCTCTAATAAATATGACTTTTCACTATTACTGCAAAGCTTCTCTTAAACCTACAAAGCTTTGGCTTCCATCAAACATTTTGACAGCAGGAAATATATCTGTTTAAAACAGATATATAAATGAACATGCTTGTTTTTCTTTCATTTCTTGCTATTTTTCATTTTTCTGTTTACTTCTGTTTACTTTAGCAAAAGAAAAAGTGATGATATTTCCAGAGATGAGGTGACGTCACTGAACTCAATAAATGTCATAAATCAGAGGTAAATGCAAAAAAGGCCAAGTGCAGTATCAAGTGTGGATGCAGCCACTCAAAAACATTCACAGATTTCCAGTCAGCCTGTTTCTTATGAAACTGTCTATGTTTGTTACCTTCTCAAAGTCAAAACTATTCTCTTCAATTCTCAGAGACACTCCTACACTAACCACACATTTCACTCACAATTTGCTTAGGGCCCTTTGTAGAAAGTGATGCCTTGAAATATCACTACCCCTCCACGAAGCGCACAATAACCTGTTTTAACAGTGGCCCATCTTGTAAAGCAACTACTGAACTGATACATGAGTGGCCCATTCCAAACAGCAATCCTTGAACTGTCATATAAGAGCACAACCCAAACACCAATCCTTGAACTGTTCTATCATTTCACAACCCCCAAAATCAATCCTTGAACTGTTCTAACGGTGCACAATCCAAAATCAATCTTTGACCTGTTCTATCATTTAACAACCCCCCCAAAACAATCCTTTAACTGTTCCAACTGTTCTATCGATGCACAACCCAAAATCTATCCTTGAACTGTTCTATCATTTCACATACACCCAAAATCAATCCTTGAACTGTTCTAATGGTGCACAACCCAAAATCAATCCTTGAACTGTTCTGTCATTTCACAACCCCCCCAAATCAATCCTTGAACTGTTCCTACTGTTCTATCGTTGCACAACCCAAAATCGATCCTTGAACTGTTCTATCATTTCACGTACATCCAAAATCAATCCTTGAACTGTTCTAATGGTGCACAACCCCAAATCAATCCTTGAACTGTTTTATCGATGCACAACCCCAAATCAATCCTTGAACTGTTCTATCAGTGCACAACCCCAAATCAATCAATGAACTGTTCCATCAATGCACAATACAAAATTCAATCATCCCGAACTGCTACCTTACCCAAAGCAATCCCTTAAAAATAAGAGTTGTCAGTTGTCTTACCTGCTGCTGGTATGTTAGATGGCGGTGATGACTGCTCCTCCGGGCTCGAACAATGGCCATACCGCTGTGAGGAACTACTGCCTGGCGATGACGCCGTCGCACATGTGATGACCGACGGACGTAGCTGCGGACGATGAGGTGGCGGGGAGCCACCACATGAGAGTGACAGATTTAAGGGTGCGTTCTGGATGTCGGGGGAGGGGAGCTCGGGTGGATGGCTGGGTATACTGGGATGTTGGTCGTGACTAGGGTGAGAAGGAGGTGGTGGCGGGGGTGGGGGAGGGGGGTACAGCGTCCGCAGGTTGTACGAGGAGTCGGCAGGAACTGTCTCACATGGGTAGTATGGATAGCTGTCCCCATTAAAACTTGTAAATTGCCTGTAAGAAAAAGACAGCAAATTAAGAAATCATCACATTAGCCATGACAGCACCTAGCCCAGCATTAAGCAGGCTATGTTTTTCGTTAAGTGGAATGTTACCTTGCTTTACAGTCCTGCACCATGACTGTGGGATATATGTATTTTATGAAAACCAAACCAATCTAGACATATATCAAAGCAAGTCCAGCCAGCTCTATTATGAAATCAACATCATGAATTTTTTTAAAAAAATTTTAGAGGAGGGAAATGCATTGTGTAATAAAAGATTTTATAGGCTATATGTTAATCTACTTGCTTTCTAATTGGCTAGTGAATACTAGTCTTGGCACTAGCATGGGTCATATTGTACCACCAGTCAATATGTTTCCACCAGTCAATATTTCAGGTTAAGTTGCATCCCTGCATAATATGACATAACAGCTCTAAACATAAGTATATATCATCAGTCCGGGGTGATGGGGTAACATCGTGATCAAAGTGGGGCAAAGTCATGCCATAGACCAGGGTTCAATTCCCAATATTGGTAAAATATATGAAGTCTATTTCTTGTTGGACACCGCCATGATATGTGTGGATAGTGCTGAAAGTGGCAAAAAATCTACACAGAAAAATTATGCACACCCCACGAATGAATCGCTGTCTATCCAGCTACTAGAGGTGTCCCCAATGTGGATGCCAAGGAAAATGGTCCCCATTGAGCCAACTGCTTGTTATAAGAGATGACTTCAATGGGTTGCGGATGCTCATAATGGCTGCTGAGGATTACCAGCCAAAGGAGGATCCTATACACTTGGTTCATGGTAATGGTGAAACGATACATCGGTACACAAGTGCATCATGAGTTTCATGTGACGATAAGATACACGATACTTTTTTTTCTGAATTGATACAAGACATACACTTGCTGAAATAAATTACTCTTCGTTTAATGATCTCTGACGTTTTTGTGAGTCAAATGTCGCAAAAAATTTGTAATAAGCATTTCAAGTTGACTACTAGTGAGTGAGTTGGGTTTAACGCCGCTTTTAACAGGATTCCAGTTATATCACAGCGTGTCAGATTAATGTGGGAGGAAAGCCCGAAGTGATGCAGGTCTCAGACATTTACCACTTCGGTGAAACCAACGAGCACGGGTATGGTGCTTACAAACCTAGAAACATAATCGGGGCGAACCGGGATTCGAACCCACAATCATAGGTTTCTGGCGTGCCCAAGGGACACAACTCTGCACAGCGAATTGCGGCGCCTTAGATGATTGGGCAACCCATGCCCCCTGTTGACTACTAAAATTAGACGCTATGTACATGTGTCTACAGCTAGCTTTTCCTTTTGAACTTCCCATGCGATTTGACGTAAATATGCATATCGCGACATGTATCATATTTTGACCTATGTATCGCGATACGTATTGTATCATGACCTTGCTGTATCATTTCACCCCTAGATTATGGACTGTCTTCTTGTGTCATACTTCTACTGAACTAAGGAGCAAGTATTAAATCCTGTTCTTCTAATTCAGGGATGAGAACGGATATTTTCCTTTTCAGCTGGAACTTATTTGCAATGGTGCGTGGTCCATAAACTGGTGATGTTTATGGAGGACGCCATCAGATTTTAACAAATTTGTGGTCACTAAAATAAGCAGATCCGCGGAAGATTCTCATCCCTGATAATTTCACATCACTCTCCAAGGCTCTCTGCTGCCTACCTCTTTACGGTAGCAATTAGGAAGGAACATCCTACCCTAGTGTTATATCATTTATCATGTATGGCTTTTGGTGTAAACCCTTTTTTCTGCAAGAACTTGACCACAGTTCCGCAAGTTAGTCCCTTTTCCACAGGTCACACACGCCTGCTTATTTTACTGATTTGTCACACTGAAACAAATTCCTCAACTGACTCAAGTTTTTTTGACTATATTTCTAAATTATCATGGCATGTCCTAAACAAAAGATTCCACTATTACGCAATTCCTTCTATGTGAGACTCAAACGTATCAATCAACTCTTGTATGTTATGAGTCACAGTGTCCCCTGGAGAGTGCGGAGCTTACAGATGACACAACTCGCCACGGTCCTCTGTTGTCATCTCAACACATAGCATGATAAAGGAAATATACAGCAACAGGGATACAAATACATAGCATGAGATTCCGTGGCATCTGATTGGCTAACCAAGCAATATTTCCATAACCCCCAAAACTGCTGTTTCTTGATTGGCTGGTAATGGAATGGGTGGGGCTTGAGCTGCATTATTTCCACTGATGAAACAAACCGTAATGATCAATTTAACATGAAATATCCGAAAATAACGCCTTTAAAACTCCATTAAACTATATCCTCCAATGAATTCAATTTATTTAATGCTGATGGCAATTCAGATGCCAGTTCAAAGTTCAAATTTAACACAAGTCACTGTTTAATTTTTATGCAAAGCAATGCTATATTTTAATGCAAAGCAATATGTAATTCTGATGCCGACTTAATGTTAATTTCAATGCAAACTCAAAAATTTATCTAAAACGTGTACTTTCCCTCTGAGTGCAGCAGGTTTGTAGATTACAGCTAAGCCCTCTCAATTTGATTTGGGACTTGAAGTGACTTGTGAAGTTCCAGGCTGAAAGAGGGCATACCTGTAGTGTTTAAGTTGTGACTGTACCTCCTGTATTTACACTCAGATGAGTCATATGTACAATAATGAGTTATGAGGCTTCTAACTTGACAGGCTCCTAACTGAAAGACACTGTCAAGCTCAGCCCAGAGCACCACAAGTGTTATAGTTGCCTGGTTGATATAGCTGTTATGTGCCACCAATATATACCACCTTGAGTCACAGCGTTGCACTCCGTGTAGGAGAACAGTTTTAAAGAACTTTTTAAACATTTCAATTACTTTTTCTATTTGTATTTTTGTCATGTTGCAATTGTATAAAAAGACTGGAAGAAATTTGATAAAAAATAAATATATAGCTACATTGATCCAGATTGTTCACTCCTGCATTTTATATATTTAGTGGGTACCTAAAAATGTGAAATTGTGTTTTTGTTTGTTTTTTCTTTAAGGCCGCACTTACAGCTATATGACAGCAGTCTGTAAATAATCGAGTCTGGACCAAACAATCCAGTCATTGACATCATGAGCACTGATCCACGCAATTGGGATACGATGACATGCATCAACCAAGTCTGCGAGCCTGACACCTGATCTCGTTAGTCGCCTCTTACGACAAGCATAGTAGCCTCTTACGACAAGCATAGTCGCCTTTTATGGCAAGCATGGGATGCTGAAGACCTGTTCTACCCTGGATCTTCACCGGTGAAATTGTGGGTGACTATTAGAGTAATGTTCCAGCAATATCACAGCACTGGATCACAAAATGTATCCAATTTGGGTAAAGAACCCTGATCTTCGGTGTGTGGAGTGAATGCTGTAACCACTAGCCTAAGAAACTCAGCAATTCTTCGTTCTGTGTGAAGCAGATACCATGAATCTTGTAAACTCATGAAATGTGAACAGAATTGAGCAGTGTCAGCAACACATGCTACAGATAGCTGCCTAACATGATATAACAAGGCTGCTGTATATCCCAGTGGATGATATAACCTATCAACATTGTGTTACCCAACTCCAGGTAGACCTAACAGAATTGAGCTGTGTTGGCAACACAAGGCTACATCTCTCCAACATGGTACAACAAGGCTTTATATCCCAGTGGTGATATAACCTTTCAACTTTGCGCTACACAACCCCAGGTAGAACTTGTACGACTGCTGAATACATAAAATGCCACCACCTCACGGCATGCAGTTGCTAAGAGTTATCTGCATGGGATTACATCATTATTACACACACGTGTTTCTCAGTGGCGCTTGCCTCATTCCAACATGCTGGCGCTGCCCTGACATTGGCATGGAATCATGTAGCAACAATATTGTCTGGTACTACTGTCGGCTTGCTCCACTCCCCTACACCACAGCTTGTCTACCTTCAGGGATGATACGACTGAATGACTGGTTGTTTGTTTGTTGTTTAATGCAACACTCAGCAATATTCCAGCTACATGACAGGACCTGTAAATAATCCAGTCTGGACCAGACAAACTAGTGACTGATAATGTTAGCAACGATCTGTGCCATTGGGGTGCAATGACAACTAAGTCTGTCATCCAATTCACTGAGTCACCTCCTACGACAAGCATAGGTTGCTGGGGACATTTTCTAACCTGGAATCCCAATTTCCATTACTAAGAGGCTTTGTGTACCATGCCAGATTCATTGAAGTGTATGCTTTGGCCTGATGAAACTGATGTTGTGGTTCTAATTGCATGCAATTTCAAAAAGGGTAGATAGATTACTTTCTTGTAAAAACACCTTTATGCTTGAGACCTACTTAAAATAGCAGCGTTTTGTATCTATTTTTATTTTGTTACGAACTTTGTCACTATGAAAATATGTTGAGGCTGACATCTTAAATTAGGAAACTGTTAATTGGAACATCAACTGTTCAGGCCAAACCAGATACAGAACAGAACTGATTGTGTCACTGGGCCACCATGAGATCAGATTGTCACTGGGCCCCCATGAGATCAGATCGTGTCAATGGGCCACCATGAGATCAGATTGTCACTGGGCCACCATGAGATCAGATTGTGTCACTGGGCCCCCATGAGATCAGATTGTCAATGGGCCACCATGAGATCAGATTGTCAATGGGCCACCATGAGATCAGATTGTGTCACTGGGCTCTCATGAGATCAGATTGTCACTGGGCCACTATGAGATCAGATTGTCACTGGGCCACCATGAGATCAGATTGTCACTGGGCCACCATGAGATCAGATTGTGTCACTGGGCCATCATGAGATCAGATTGTCAATGGGCCACCATGAGATCAGATTGTCAATGGGCCACCATGAGATCAGATTGTGTCACTGGGACACCATGAGATCAGATTGTGTCACTGGGCTCTCATGAGATCAGATTGTCACTGGGCCACCATG